GAGGCCGCCCCTTCCACTGGGCCCGCGTTCCCTTCCGCCGTACAGACAGCACCTCGGCGGCAGAGCCTTAACGGCACAACTAGAACTAAAGAAACTTTACCCCTTAACCGCGGGTTAAAAGCGCGGCGGCACAGGGCGAGAACCGCGGAACTAAAGCTGCGCTTTTGGGGAGTCAGCGCCATGACGCCCGTAATCTCGTAAAGCCTCGAATGTGTGCGGGGCTTCATGGCGTGGGGCGCGGGCCGTGTTCTTCCGGGTTGCGGTTCTGAGAAAGCACCGCTTTGTAGGCTCTCTGAATTTTAGTGACGCGTCTTTCTTTACGCAGCCAAAGAGAAGGTCGGCTAGACTATCCGCTGTAAGTATCTTCGTTTACTCTTTCCATACTACATCGCGTGGGACGCTAAGTTCTGGGCAACAGTTATAGAAAAACCATTTGGTTTTTTTTTTCCACCGGTATCGTGAAAGGCATGGTTAGCGTATTGCAATACTTAAAAGGAAAATTCCCGTTCCGCGTTCCCAGTCCTTGGGTATCAGCACGTCGCAGGCTTACTTTTAGACGTTTCACGTGAGATACAGCATCTGCGTTGGTTAACATTCATCTGGACGCATGAGTATCCAGAGTCGAGGAATATTGATTCCTACATGCGTTCCTTCTCTGTAGGTCTTCTCCGTACAAATGCCTGCCCGTAGCTCTATAAATTACCTGCTCTCTCCTTATACTTGTAATTTGCCCATTGATTTTGCAGGCCCAACTGTTGGCTAAACTGAGAGCTAGAGGGTGTAAATCTATGTTGTGCGGTAGGGTTCAGCCCAAAGTCACAGCCTTACACAGGCTCCTGGCATCCTTTTCGACAGACACTTTGTGCACCCAGCCCTTTTTTAAGCCGTCTTGGAAATGCCAACTGGATAACGGTTGCTATTTAAAAAAGACAGCGCTTAATTTTAGTGGAAGCTAAGGTGCGTATTCATACGTAGAGTTATGTCCAAATGTTAATACCTTTCATTTTTGACAGCCTTCAGAGCAGACAGGAACACCCAGACACAGTAATGATCCCCTTACTACTCCCGTCAGCACCCGTACCATACCCGCTGTAACACACGTCAGGAAACGTGGGTTTGGGTAATGGAAGATACTGATCCGTCTCTGGGATTTACTCCTTTATCCTACAGAATGAGGCAGACAGCTCTAATGGATTTTTTGTTTGAATAGTTTTCAAGAGTTACCAACGTGTCGCGAAAACGTTTATAGCGTTCATCTGACTCTGATTCCTGTGTATGTTTTGTGCAGAAACCTGCTCCGCCTAAACCGGAGCCAAAGCCCAAAAAGGCAGCACCTAAGGTAAGTGCTTGAGATCTCGTGAACTGAAGTTACACTTTTCTTTCTCAAGGTGTTTATAGGGGGGGAAAAAAACATCCACAACTCACCGTTTTGGTTTTTCATAACTTTCTTTAAAGATCGGAGACTGAATTATGTGAGTTAAAAGAATGTGAAAGATGTAAAGATGATTTTATCCAATTCCTAGCGAAGGAATGTGGTAAACTGAACAGATTTTAAATTGGTTGCGGTGAGGCTTTACTGCTTGCCTTGCAAGGCCCTTCTGAAGTTCCGTATAATGCATTGTTGGGAAAACGATGCCTTGAATAGAGATCAGAGACTCAAGTAGAGAAAGCATTGAAAATCATGCTTTTAATTACAGTTTCTTACTATGTTTTCATTCAAAGGCACTTTTTTCAGTTATCAGTTCATCAAATTTTAATCACTGGAGATAAAGTTCTACAGACCCGTTTCCTTAAGCTGGATATTTTTTGAAATGTCAGCAATATTGGCATATCTGACAGTGTAGTTAAAAAAGAAACTATTTAAAACTCCTTTGTGCTTCGGAGCAAGAGTTTGAAATGTAAAAGGGGGCAGTTCTGCAATCCGTGAGGTATTTCTTTATACTCCCTTCCTGTCACAAAATTCCCCGGCGGTCACAGTTTGCAGTGGTTTTTTTAGATCTATCTGCAAATATTCAGATTGTATTAGGATTTTGCAGCTGGGGAAAAACCAATGACGACAACAAAGCAACTTTAGTGTTCTTTTTAACCTGTCCCCATTTTCCGTTGTGGTTTTGGATGGTCATACGGGCAAAGCGCAGGTGCGAGAGACGCTTTAGTTACAGCAGGGGATGACGGGCTGGGAACCAGGAACTCTTTTCCTGTACCTTTAAAAGGCGTTGTAATTGCATATGGCACAGCAGACTTCCAGATGATGAGAAGTATTCTGCCTCCCTCCAAGCCTTGCTATACGGAGCAGCAGAGATGTCACGAGAAAGGGACAAGAAGGAGAACCCCGCATGTCGTTTTGGGGACCCCGCATCTCAGCTCTGTGGTCTCAGTGGTGCGCAGAGCAAATTTTTCACATCTGCGTCTTGGTCGTGCAGCTGGATTTCTAGATCCCATTCCGGAGCGGCAGGGGAACCTAGGAACCCTGCTGCTCCGCATTCCTGTGGTGCGAGCGGCTGGCGCGCTCTGCGTTGCATCTCCCGCTGAGTGGCTGCTCCCCCGGGAAGAGGAGAGCCCACCGCTGGTGGTTGCTCTTCCAGCCCAAGTGGCAGAGAGCTCGCTTGGGGGTCGAAAAATTCAGCCTCTGCTGACGACCCACGCAGAGGTCAGTGCAGCTGCGTACGATGCACGTTGTCAGTATTTTCTTTTTTTTTTTTTTTCAAGTTCGCTTTTTTCTTTTTATGGAGACATCTCAGGGTTTATACACAAAAGCTGCCTTAACCGAATCTTAAAAGTTGTGAAAATAAGCATTCAAAAGCTAAGGACTGGAAGTGACTGTCAGAACTTAGTTCGGTGCCTTGGTGCACGAGCTGTATGGTGCGGTCTCCCTCTGGGATCAGACCCGGTTTAGTTCTGCTGGGAGTGGTGCCCTGGTCATTGCCCCCCAGTTGCACTCGGAAAGCGTCGGTCCTCGTGCTTCCAAGGTGCTGGTTTGAAGCCAGGATACCTGAGCTGCATTTTTGGCTCTCTAGAGCTCCTAATACTGGACCAATATCTGTGCAAAGGGGGATGTAGTAAGAATTGTGCAGGCATCTTTAATTCTTGTTTCCCCCAAATGCTTAACTTGACAACCTTCAGGTTCTTCAAATGGTTTTTTTGTGTGTCAGACTAGATTTCAGCTTTTAAACTTATCTATATTGAAAAACATAGAGCTGGGAGAAAAGTTTTATCCCTTTATAAAACCCGTGACCTTATTACTGAATGGACGTTGCCATCTGTATAGAAAAATTGTTCAGGAAAATTAATACAATGGTATTAGCTCAGAACTAGCTGAGAGGGTGGATGAAGCTTGGAAGTTGAAAAATAACATTGTCTCCTTGGGTATTTTTTTTCCTGGGCTCACTTTTGTGGAAGGGGGCTTGATCCCTTAGAGAATAGCCGTCAGCTTGTCCCCAGAAGGCACAGATCTTGCAGAACAGAGCAGAGATCCCGGGATCCTCACCCGCAGCCGTGTGCTGCGAGACACCTTCCCTCCTCCGCTCAGTCCAGCCGTGGAAGCCGGTTGCTGTGGATTTTCCTTACCCAGCAAAGAGTGGGCTACAGAGAATTACAGTTTTAATACTTTGCTGTCTTTTTTTAATGGGTTAAGGGAAAAGATACCCTTCTTCCAACAACCCCAAGTCTTTAAAAATCCTTCATGGCTTACATTGGAAGAGCGAGTGACTTTACACGCCCGTGCTCGTGAGTTTGGAGCATTTGGTGCCGCCGGAGGGAGGAACCCTTCACAGCAGGCTGCTTCTGTGTGTCTCAAAGGCCTGATGAGGTCTGTTCGAGTGACAGAGAGCAAACCGGTACCCCAGTAGCATTGCAATTCTAAATCTTACTGCCACACACTACCAGAATACTTGGGTGCTGATATTACTGTGATATTTATCTTTTTTCTGCTTTTCTTGAAAGTTGGAGGACGGTTCAGCCAACAGAGGGGGAAGACGAGTGAGCAGAGGCATGTGGTTCTCTCTCCTCCTCCGGTGACTCTCTTCCTTCTCTGGGAAGGAGCCGCACAGGTCGCTGATAAGTCAGTCCCCAGGGAGGAGGAGAGGCCTGCTGAGAGTGGGCGCAGCCCAGGAGAAGGGGGCTCCTAACACCCCTTTGTAGTAGAGTTTCCCATCTGGGCTGAAATCCCTCGGCAAGGTCAGACTGGCGAGTGGGAAGTTAGAGAGGAAAGAGACCCCCACCCATCTGAGCGCTACTAACCTCCCGTCTTCAATTTTCTGCGTTATTGTAGGAGTCGGTGTAAATTTTGGTGAGTTTTTAATCATCAGTATCCTTGAAGAATCAGGTGACTTTGCCCCTTATACTCTGTACCCAAGTTTACCCTTAGCAAACAGCTCATTTTACATGTGAATTAATTTTGTACAGTAAGAAGCGAGGTGCTGAAGTAAGAAAGTACACTTTTTGTAACTTCTAGTCACTGGGACAACTCCATCTTCTGAGTAGAAAGAGAAACATTCAGTAATTATCTGTTTATCTTCACTTACCTGTGAGTAGTAATTTTGCAGATGTTTATGGTTCCTTTGTCGGGACTAGGTTAATCGAGCGAGGAACTAAGCTAGTTTCCTTAGTGCAGTTACTTATTGGCAGCAAGAGATCCTCGGAATTGAAACTAATGAGAGTCGTGCTAGTTGCTGCCCTGGGGTCGGGTCTGACCTTGCCGTATAGAAAACGATGACTACCGAAGTTGTAGCATCAAGTTGTGCTTTGATTTAGCCTGATCCACATGGGAGAAACTGCGCTTAAATAATAAATGCAAAGTTCTCGTCGTTACTGAGGTGATGCTGTTGAGCCCCCAACTTGTCTATCACACAGATGCTTTATTACAGTAAGGAATATTTCTGCCAGGGGGAAAGTCCTTTGACTGCAGCTTTGTTACAGTTGTCTAAATAGGCATTAATAGCACATCTGAAGTATTCTGGTATTTCCACTAGTTGTACATGTGCTTTTTGTTCTGCGGTATGCCTTTCAGCAGTGCAGCAGAAACACAGGCCCATTCAACTCCAACATTTTTTAGCTAATTAAATTGAATGCGTATTTAAAATAGGAATCCTTTTAACCCCGGCCATGGCTGCTTTTATATTATGCTCTTCCTAGTAGCGCATTCAGGACAGAGTAGAAGGAAAGCGCTGCTCCGCAGAAACTTTCATCTCATCTTTGTCCATAGGAAGTTCAGCGTGTAGAAGCAGGTTGCGTAGACGGTTTTAGAGTTGAGAATGTGCGTATGCAGATGTACGAGGTGGAAATAAGCATTTACCGTATCACGCTCTCTTTTCTTAACAGAAGGAAAAGGCAGCAAATGATAAAAAGGAGGACAAAAAGGCAGCAACAAAAGGGAAGAAAGGAGCCAAAGGCAAAGATGAAACTAAACAAGAGGATGCTAAAGAAGAAAACCACTCTGAAAACGGAGATACCAAAACTAATGAGGTACTTTAGCTACAGTAAACATGGGAATAAACACAGATGTATTGGTAATACATCTGCAGGAGCTAACGATCGGGCCTCCTTGTCAGAACGTGGTGTGTTTCACTGCCGTGCTGTAAAGACAGACCAGCTGCAGTATCGGCACAGGGCAACTCCCAGGGAGAGCCTGAAAGAATAGCATTCTCCTTCAAACTCATCCCTGCTATGCGATAGAGCCCTTCCACAGGTGGGCTGTGCTGTCGCAGTGTCCCTCTCGGGGTTGGCACAAGAGCAATGCAGAATATTTGGGGAACAGTAGAGCTCAGTAAGATTGCTGTCCAACCCTGGGCTGGCTTTGCATATCCTCCCTGGACTGCTGGATTGCCTCTTCTGCTCAGCACGGGTTGGTACTGTGCCAGAAATCTGGTTTTAAGTTTTACACAATTTCTTTAAAACAATTCTTCGCCTCAGAACAATTCAACAAGAGATCTGCAAAATAAACTTGGTCTTGTCTCTTGATCTGCAAGCCTCTTTCTTACAGGTTCTTACTGTGTCAGCTGCTTACCTGAGAGCTGCCGTTTGCTAGGACTAGCTACGAGCTTCAGTCAGCTCCTGGTGGCCTTTTCCTAGCAGATTTCTTGCTGATACTAGAAGCGCAACGTTTGCTACGGGCTCCCTTTGCCCCTGTAGGCTCAGACTAGCCTGTTGTCTTCTCTGTTGCTTTTGATTTACAGCGCTCTCTCTTCATGTGTTGAGTATCGTTATCCAGTTAACGGGTCGTTCATTCTTTCCTTTTTAAAACTAATTCAGGAGCTTTTTTGCTAAATACGGGGCTAATGTACTTCAAAGGATCTTTGATAGGAGCTTTGCAATTTTGATGGGTTGACTTAAAAAGTCATAGCAGGCATTTTTATAGAAAAGAGGTGAGAACCAATTTCCCCGAAGTTTGGACAATAGACGAGGATTGCGGTTTTACGTGTAATTCTTACGCTTCCCTGTGACTTACGGAGATGAGGACTTGAACTTTCCCTAGCATGTGATTGATCCCAGTCTAAAATACCTTCTAAACTTCTGCCTCTTTGGCGGCACTTAACGTGCCAAAATGAACTCGATCATCAATTAACACTCATCTGTGGTTTAATTTTTAGAATTATCAGCCGACACGTTGTTGTGTTGATATTTGCTGTAGTAGCCGTGCATTCTTGTCTATCTACGCAAAATGTTGTCCGTGTCTGTGCTAACAAACTAGTCTCTCTCTTTGATGCTTGTTAGAATGGAATCCGATTAGCATTACGAATAATATTTCTATTCTTCCCAAACACTTTTGTAGGCACCAGCTGCTGAAGCATCTGATGATAAGGAAGCCAAGTCCGAGTAATGTTAACCCTGCCCTATATCTCCATCATTTGGTATCCGTACCTCCATGCTGTATTGTTAACAGAGAGGAATATTTTTATCAACTATTTTATAAATGCAGGTTTTTTTAGCATGAATTTAATTATGGAACATCTTCATCTCGGTTACTTGGGAATTAAATCCCTAACAAACAAAACAAAACAAAAAAAAATCATTGTTTTTAAATTTTGTGATTGTAATAGTTTGTATGGTACATGGAAAGAATAAGTGGTGGTAGCTTTTGACTTCTGTCAGTGTGTCCCTTTTTGTGTAAGTCATGCTTACAGACTTCAGATTTTAATTTTTCCCTTGTATGTGTTGTATGGTTTCTTAAAGTGGGGAGGTCTCAAAACAAATAACCGTGTTAAACATTCCAGTGGTTCTGTGGGTTGCTTTTATAAAGAAGGTGAGCTATTTTCATGAAAAACCTAAGAGCTGGAAATCTGTTGTTTCCCAAATGTAATTTTATTTTGTCAGTTTTGAAAAAAGAAAAAAATAAATAAATAAAAGTGTAATCATGTTTTTAAATGAAATACAAACATTTCTTTTAAAAGGGCAGGTCGGTTGTATGTACCCACTGTTAGGAATTTTGCTGGATTTATCTTAATAAAAAAGACTCCTCAAAAGCTGATTGTGGTTTGTTGCTTGTGCTGCAAACGTACTGCTGGAAAGCTACCAAATTCCGGAAGAGTTGCAGTAGTACAGAGCTTCAGGCCGAGCGAACCGATGCAGCCAGCCAGCTTTGGGCCGGAGCGTGCTCAGGGCTTGGGCCCTCGTCTCCGTCAGTTGTGTAAACAAAAACGACTTTATGGGCGGCCGAAACGGGAATAGGTGATGTCAGTGCTGGCTTACGGCAGCCGGGAACTTCAGCCAGCGCTTTCAGACGAAGGCTGACCTTCTAAATTGTTCCTGACGCGAAGGTGGGGTGGTCCAAGGCATTGGACAACCTGGGGTTGTCCAAGACGCCTTAAGCGTTATAGACGTTACTACAAATTCTGAAGGGTATCGTCTGGTTTTCTTTTATGTGCCTGTTAACTGAGTATGATTTTGAGGGGGGGTCTTTCCTCTTAGAAATACTGCAGAAGCTTCGAGACTACCACGTTTACATCAAACCCTTAACAGTATAACGTAGTTTTCCGTTGATGTAGGAATGTTCGCAGTCCCGGTTAAAGCACATACTTCCATAACTGTTGTTTATAATTTTCTGCTTTAAACATGCATTACTCAAAAAATGTTGTCTTGGACTCGCTTAGCTTCTCCTAGCCGTGATAACGTGTGTGTGTGTGTACAGAAGTGCTTTCCATTAATGTGAGCTTCATTATTCTGGGAAATGACGGCTAGGCTCGACAGCAGTTAAATGGGGGTTTAGTATTGGTTTTACCTCGCCTCATTTTTGTTGCCGCAGCTATTCTCTGCAACTTTTTCAAGGATGCTTCAGATTTTCTGCTTAAAGCCTCCTTTTATATAAAGTCTCTTCACATTGATGACCAAATACATTATATATTTAATAAGAAGAAAAATGTCCGCAATGCAGAAACCTTATCTTTTGCATGAAATTGTTTCGCGGCCCAGAAATGTGAAATTCCAAGAGCTTGCGCATTTGATCTCATATCCGAAACCTAACTCAGCGTCTCAGTGCGTAGCGTCTCGTATTAAATGTGTGTTTCAGGATCAGTATCCCAGGGCACTGGCTACTCGATGGTGTTTAATGTGGATTTCATTTTCAAGGCCTAAAGCAGCGGGGATTTTTA